TGCTGGGTACACGTATGAGCTGGCCCGCGGTTAGTGTCAAAAGTCTCATCGTAGCGTTCCTAAACCTCTTACCAGGCGGAAGGCGTTGAATTCGGCTAAATACATCTATCCTAGGAGCAGATGGGAGGATTAAGCACCAATCCACGTTTAAAAGGTTCAGACAAATATCAAAGCGATCGCAGGATATTAGGTGGTTACAGGTACAAAATTTTGCACCCATTACTTATCTTTTGGCAAAAACACACCTTAAACTTAGTCTAATGCCTTTTAATGCTCTGCACAAAGTTCACAAGTGTTTGAATTTTGGATTAATTAGACTTTTTACCAAAGTCCTCCTCCTTTGCCGTAAATACTACTGATAGAAAGCGTCAATGACCTCATGCGCAGCTGCGAATCTGACTCGGTTAAGCTATTATAAATTCCTGGATGTTTTTTTTACAGAAGAGGTCATAATCGCAGTATTTTTACTGATTACATGTGCATTACATAATCACCACGACCTACTAAACAAACCAAAGGTTTTCAATGGCGGTGAGTGGTATTTATTGTGGATTTTTACTTACGACGTCATTGTTTCCCACTAATAGTATCAAAAAATCAATGAATTACACGATACACTCCTTTAAATACTACTATAAATGAAATCATGTCACGTTTTTCGGAATACTTCATGTCTGTTACTTTGTTGACTGTTTGCAGTCCACACTGTTCTTCATTAAGGAGTTGTTTTTTGTAAATCAAATCGAAGGTAACGTGTTTGAATACCTTATTGATCAACCTCAAGGTTCTATATGCGTCAAAGCCACCATTAGAGGTTGTTGCTCGTAGGTTGTCCCTGCGTCACCTGTTTTTTTCTGTTTATCACTCCTCATGCATCTAGTTATCCTCAACGTATGTTCCTATAAGTTTCCACAGGCATTTGTTCCTTGTGATTTTCCCGTTAGTGTGCTATCTTGCTATTAATGTTGCCTACATTAGTAGAGCTACCACCTAGATTCTTTTAAACTGAGTTTGGTTTTTTAATATAAGACATTTGCGCATTCATATTTTTTTGATCTGAATTGGAGTAGTTTGCGCTAGGAGACTAGGGTAAGACACAAGGAATGTTACCGCATGCTTTTGGCGTGCATTAGATTTTTTGCATTGTACCGGATGCTGATAGCATAATTTATCATCTACTCATGCTTTTCCAGTGGTTTCAAATGGCTTTCAACCCAAACAGTAGAACTTAATTCAACTTAGTGCGCTTACCTCCTCACTTTAATTCTTCAAATGCAGTTTTTTGACTCTTTTAGTTGAGGCGTGTCTGTGAAAATTGCGCGCAAATTTAGGTTCTTCAAACGCCATAAGATGGCGTCTGATGAGGAAATGCTTGATGTTAGTTTTCCTCGACAGTATATGTCACTTTCTAATGTGAGGAATACCTTTTCAGGTGAGCATTTGCCCATCATATGGGTTCGTCCGTCTCATCTTTGAGGTTGTGCTTGCTCCATAGATTTTGCAAATCCACAAACTGTTTCTGTATCACTTACCACAAAGTGGCAGTTGATGTTGTTCTTTTGTCATTCAAGTCAGTGCTAGTCTTTAATGTTGTCTTGGTCACGCGATTGTGTTCATGTTTTGTCTTTTACGGCTTACACTTGTCGAAGTATATTCTTCGTTTGCGTTCAGTGTCTAGCATCACTGCTATGCTGATGCTTTATTGAGATTTCTTTATGAAACAAGGTGCTACTTGTTCTTGAAATAAAACTCTTGTCAAAATCAGCAGCTGAACATTGGTTCATGCCGGATGCTGTGCTATTGCTGAAATTCACACTATTTCGAACTGTAGTGTTTGTATAATCCTCTATTATTCCATTATTTAACAAATGAGGTAAGTTACGGCTTATGTCCTATTTCACGCAAAAAAGGTGCGGAGATAGGATTACGTGATGAGCTGTTAATGGATTCCACTTCGAATGAAGCACCCGTTGAGATCCCACTACAGCTTCTCATTCACGCAGACAATAGCACTTCAGGTACCCTCTATTTAACTCGAGTAATGTCTCACTCACCAGCCCTCTAAACCAAGTTTCGGTGACTCACGTAACTGTTTCGACTAACTAACTGGAGCCCTTTTTTTCACAAGACGAATCAACAGAGAATCTACTAGGGATATGTCCCCCAACCAACCCTCGCGATTACGTGCGCTTAAGCACTCTTGGTAGGTGTCTCCCATCGTCCCTTTTCCTCCCTCTCCTACTCCTAGTCGTGTACCCTCGTCTTAGCTCGCTTTACTTTAATTCTCCTATGCACATCGTCTTCCACACGTACATACTACTTCTGTTCTCGATCGTCCATCCCTGTGTGCGCTTTTCTGTCGATTGATTAACCTATCTGTAAAATCTTGTGTACAGAAGTAACTTCTAGTTACCGATTTTATCTCTTGTTCTCGTGCTCTAGATCCTGAGGAGACGGTACCTGGCGAACGGTTACATGCTCCTAGTCGCTCTGAAAAAGATGACGAGCGCAAAAGGCTAAGAGGCACCTATGATGAGTATGACACCGTGGACTGGGTGAAGGACCTTAATGCAGACAGTGACAGGCGAGCTCGCATGGAGCAGCGTGCTAAGGTTTGTTGACTTGCTTTTGGCTCTTTCCAAAGGCCTGATTTATTACCCTTTTTCTGGGGATCTAACTTGAGTGTACTGAGCGTGTGGTGTACACTCACAGAACGACAATACCTACAAGGCTACTACGCTGTGTTAGTCTCACGTCCTAACCTATATCAACAGGCGCACTTGTCTTCCTGGATAACGGCATATCACTCTAACGACAAAATACTTTGTTAATTTGTTTGACTCACGCGTCAAAATCGAACTTGTGAACCTTGTACGGATGCAGAACCTTGTGAGGTGTTTCATCGTTGCATCTTCATCCTTTTTTTTCGTAGACGTCCTCTACCGCCTTCGCCTACAAGGCTTCTCTTTACTACTTCAATTGAATTCTGTAATATCGTTTACTAAGTATGCTTATCTCCTTTTTGCAAAACTACTTTTTTATCGTCCTAAGGCAAAACGCTTTGGAAGAACTACTAAAAGGAGTGCCCACAAACTAACAGCTCTTCAAGAGGAACCCATTCACAATCACGGTGTTCGTTTGAATTAAGTTTACCACTTCGTAACATCCGCTGTGCTATGCCCATGTCGCAACAATGTAGTTTGCCCTTGGTCTAGACGCCCGTGTCATGGCACTGTTTATAAACAATCCTTTCGAATTTCGCTCTTGTACTTGGGGTGTACTTCTGTTTTATCGCGAATCGGAGTGTTCGATGTA